AAAAAAAAAAAAAAAGAGAGAATTGCCTAAGCCTGAGAGCTGAAGGGTTGCTGTGAGCTGTGATGCCACGGCACTCTACCAAGGGCAACAAAGTGAGACTGTCTCTAAAAAAAAAAAGTTCTGGAATTAGCTGGGCAAATAAGTGTTCCAAGGCCTTGCAGGCAGTGGTCAACATGTGGTAAATCCCATGGCCCCTGAGGCAGAGCTTGTTTGGTTGCTGTATCACCTCTGCCTACGTCGGGGTCCTCGAACTCCCTGCTCCAGAGCTGGTGCTCCTCTTCCTTGTGTGAGGTTGTGATGGTGCCCCCTTCTCTCCCTCAGCCCCCGGACCTGCCAAGATCCCTTTTCCCCATGCTGCCTCTGTCCCACTTACAGCCATACCTATGCTCTTTTGACCTGCCCAACACACCTGTCTCTCACATAAGTGCATACCTGAAACTGTTCTTGCCACTTTTGTCTTGGGTGATGCTCCATCTCCCCCCACACCAGAGCGGGTATCTCAACCTTTATTACGTAGCTCTAGCTGACATTCCCATGCCCTGCCCCAGGGGTCCTCCTGCTGCCATCTGCTCTTCCTCTTTTGCCAGCTGCAGGTAGAGGTTGGTACCTCCTTCCTTAGCCCTCTGCTCCTCGCCTGCCTTCTCAGAGGACTTACACAGCTGGTCTTGTACCCAGATTTGCACACCCCTGCAGCATCTCCCAAGTGTCTGATTTGGTACATTGAAATGTCCTGCTCATCTTCTCCTGACCTGCTCCTCTTCCGCACTTTCATGACAGTCCCTCATGGAGCTGGTGCCCCAGTCAGAGATCTGAGTATGTGTTGATGACTCCAGACACAGCACTTCCTGCCACTCCTAGCTCCATCGTCTTCCAGCTCTCTCCCTGCTCTTCCCATCTCTCTTTTAACCTGGCCCTAAGATGCCTTCTCTGTAGTGGTCCCACCTGCCTCAGGCTGTGGAAGTGTAGGGGAGGTACTTCCAGGTTGAGAAGACCTGGCTGAGCCTATGCAGGGCAGGGCCATGGTGAGTCTCTGGTCTAGGACCAACCTGATACCAGGCCCCTGGCTGTCAGGGAGGTCTGTGTGCCAACTACCTCCCTGTGTGCAGGTTCTTTCTTATGTGCTACCTATTTGTGAACCTGGCCTGTGCTGTGCAGACACTCCTGAGGACCCCCAACTGGAGGCCTCGGTTCAAATACTATCACTGGTGAGTACCCACTGGACCTCTGAGCCAAGTCCTCTGACACAGGAGCCCCATTGTATATGAGGTTTGGGTTTCTTGGGCAGTCCTGGGTGAAACACTGTGGGACGGGAGGTTGCAGGGCCTGGGGTTGACCTGTTTGTCCTACCCAGCATATGACCTTGGACTACCAGGGCATGGGCTAGGCTGTGGGCCCTCCTGGTCTTGCCCTGATTCTGCACCCCTCCCTCTGGCCCAGGGCGCTGTCCTTCCTGGGCATGAGCCTCTGCCTCGCGCTTATGTTTGTCTCCTCCTGGTACTATGCTCTGGTGGCCATGCTTATTGCAGGCATGATCTATAAGTACATCGAGTACCAAGGGTGAGTTAAGGGCTGCCTCCTAGCCTATGCAGATGGGGTGGTCAGAATGCTGGGTTGGTGGGGAGATATGCCATCTTTTGCTAGCCAGCATGGATCCCAGGAATAGGAGGCTGTAAAGCTCAGGGCTCCCAGGGGTGGCATGGGGGATTTCACCTTCACACAGACAGAAACCCATGGATGAGACTAGGACCTCATCAGCTGTGGTGGCATCTGCAGGGCTGAGAAGGAGTGGGGTGATGGGATCCGAGGGCTTTCCCTGAGCGCAGCCCGCTATGCCCTGTTGCGGCTAGAAGAGGGGCCTCCTCACACAAAGAACTGGAGGTGAGTTCACACTCAGACTCTGGCAAGGGCCATCCCAAGGTTCTTAGTGTGTGAGAGGGGCAAGAAGTGCCCTCTCCCTAGTCCAAGTTTCCCATTCTCAGGCTGCCAGGAGCACCCTCCTGCTTGCTGAGCCATTGGGCCCATGCTACCCAAACCTGTGGGGGTGGTGATCTGAGAAGGAAAGAGGAGAAGGGGCTCCCTGGAGAACCTGGCCCTGGTCTCAGGCTGCCTTCCCATCTGGTCACTGCAGGCCTCAGCTACTGGTGCTGCTGAAGCTAGATGAGGACCTTCATGTGAAGTACCCACGGCTCCTCACCTTTGCTTCTCAGCTAAAGGCCGGCAAGGGCCTGACAATTGTTGGCTCCGTCATCCAAGGCAGCTTCTTGGAGAGCTATGGCGAGGCACAGGCCGCTGAGCAGGTGCCCACTACAGGGGGTGGGAAGCTGAGCCGGACCAGAGCGGCCTTGGCTGCAGCTGCACATAGTGAAGGGGACCAATCCTAGCCATCTTGGCCAGCCAGGAGTATTTAGCTGTCTTATCTTGAATATGTGTTGTCTGGGTGGGCAGCTTTTCCCTGTACCCTCCCCCATTCCCAAGTAGTTTTGTGCCTTGGCACCTTAAGAGGAACCTTGCCTTCTGACCCTGGTGTGTTCCCTACAGACAATCAAGAACATGATGGAGATTGAGAAAGTGAAAGGCTTCTGCCAGGTAGTGGTGGCCAGCAAGGTGCGTGAGGGGCTGGCTCACCTCATCCAGTCTTGTGGCCTGGGTGGCATGAGGCACAACTCCGTGGTGCTGGGCTGGCCCTATGGCTGGCGACAGAGTGAAGACCCACGTGCCTGGAAGACCTTTATTGGTATATGAGGGGCTGGTGCCTGGGCTGGGCCAAGGGCAAGGAGTTTAGTGAGGTGGCAGAGGCCAAAGGGCACAAACTGGTGGTCAGCAGTGTCTCTTACCACCAGACACTGTACGCTGTACTACAGCTGCCCACCTGGCCCTGCTCGTGCCCAAGAACATCGCCTTTTACCCCAGCAACCATGAGCGCTACCTGGAGGGTCACATCGATGTGTGGTGGATTGTGCATGATGGTGGCATGCTCATGCTCTTGCCTTTCCTGCTGCGCCAGCATAAGGTGGGCCGGGTGGGTGGGCACAGGTCAGAGAGGCTGGGCCCTCAGTGGGGCAGATATGACTGACCCACCCACCTACTCTGGTTTGCCACAGGTTTGGAGGAAGTGCCGGATGCGCATCTTCACAGTGGCCCAGATGGACGACAACAGCATCCAGATGAAAAAAGATCTGGCCATCTTTCTGTACCATCTACGCCTTGAGGCAGAGGTGGAGGTGGTGGAGATGGTGAGCCACCTGCCCTGCCCTAGCCCCGTGGGTGCTGTGTCCCATGCAGCCTGGTCCTCACAGTCTACTCTCTCCCCAGCATAACAGTGACATCTCTGCATATACCTATGAGCGGACACTGATGATGGAGCAGAGATCCCAGATGCTGCGGCAGATGAGGCTGACCAAGACTGAGCAGGAGCGAGAAGTCAGTGGCTTTTCTGGGTGCAGGCTAGGGGAAGGGGAGTACAGGGTCAGGCCTTTGGAGACACCAAGGGGAAGGGGGTATCAGAATGACTCACCCCAGCCCCACCCAAGCTGTTGCTAATTTCTCTGAGGGCCAGTAAGGGCTGTCTTCCTTTTCCCAAGGCACCAAGGCTACCTCCTATGATTGTCCTTAGGCCCAATTAGTGAAGGACCGGCATTCAGCCCTTCGGCTAGAGAGCCTGTACTCAGATGAGGAAGATGAGTCTGCAGCAGGCACTGAAAAGATTCAGATGACATGGACCCGGGACAAGTACATGACTGAGCCCTGGGACCCCAGCCGTGCCCCTGACAACTTCCGAGAGCTGGTGCATATTAAGCCGTGAGTGCAGCAAGAACAGGCCCAACCACACTGGTTCTGGGGCAGGGGTGGGATGGGGTAGACAAGCTGTGTGGGTGGGCCAGGCCACCTTCTTGCAGCCTGGTTCACCATGACCTGGGATTGGCTGCATTACCTGCAGGGACCAGTCCAATGTGCGGCGCATGCACACTGCTGTGAAGCTCAATGAAGTCATTGTCACACGTTCCCACGATGCCCGCCTGGTCCTGCTGAACATGCCTGGCCCACCCAAGAACAGTGAGGGGGATGAGAACTGTATCCCTTTGTGGAGAATCAGGCAGTGGGGAGGTGGACCTCATGTGAGGTCGGACCAGAAGCTGCTCTCCCTGGGTGCCCCTGAGTGCAGGTTACCCAGGTTGCCCTAGCTCCAATTGACGGGGCGTACTACGCTGGTTGCCCTTGGGTTCTGGTGCTGCCTCCTTGACCTGATACCCTGCAGACATGGAGTTCCTTGAGGTGCTGACTGAGGGCCTTGAGCGGGTGCTGTTGGTGCGTGGTGGTGGCCGAGAAGTCATCACCATCTACTCCTGAGCCCAGTGTAGTCTTGTGGCCTGGAGTGGAAGTGTCCAGGGTAACAGTCCCTCTTAGTATCTACCTTCTGGCCCTGCTTGCCTGGCTGTGCCCTGGACCCAGCTTTGCTAGATCTCCTTGGAAACTGGGCCCGGGCAGGGCAGCAGAAATGGATCTGAGGTCCTTTGGGACCCTGGGAGGTTTGGGGACTTCCCATCCAACATAGGCCTGCCCTGGCTGGAGAAGACTGGTGGGGGCTGACGTAGGGCTTGAAGGCAGCCGGCCCAGCCCAGAAGTGCTATTTATTGGGTATTTATTGTTCAGATGTCACCACTGGAAAAGAGGCGAAGGGTAGAAGGGACGGGTCCAGCCCAGCCAGCCTGCAGGAAGACCTGGCTTGAGCTATTGTGGGCAGGGACCCCTTCCCAGCCAAGCCAAATGGAGCTGGCTGTAAGCTGAGGCCTGACTTTTTCAATAAAACATTGTGTACTTCTGGGCCTCCTGCTGCCCCAGCTCTGTTTCCCTTGGCGGCAAGGGAAGAAGGCGGAACTGAACTCAGGCCCAGAGCTGGCTGCTCCCAAGGCTGTGCCCTTTCCGGTAATTTCTGGCCACCCCCATGGGCCAGGCTGTCCCTCCCACTGGCCCTGGAGCCCCTCCCCCCCACAGCAGATAAGCCCAGCACAGGACTGCTTGCCTAGCAGCAGGCGCTAGGGCTGGGATGGGGCCACCCGGCTCCCTGTGGCAGTGGGGACTGCTGGTGGGACTGCTGGTGGGGCTGCTGCTTCCCCCTGCTGCCCCATTCTGGCTCCTCAATGTGCTCTTCCCCCCGCACACCACGCCCAAGGCTGAGCTCAGTAACCACACACGGCCTGTCATCCTCGGTAAGCCCCCGCCAGGCCCCTGGCGCACCAGGCCAGACCTGGGGAAGCCTGGGCCCCAGCCCCTGGTAACAGATCAGGATAAGGTCCTTCTGTCCTTGCCTTAGCCCAGATACCTCCCCTAGTGTGGGGAGGGGCTAAAGGCTTGTCCAGCAGAGAAATTACTCTCTTCTTCCACCACACTGTTCCTGAGTCACTGAGTTATCTGCTCCATGAGGGTGGACTGAGGGATGAGGTGTGCCTGAGGTCTTGACCAGGGCATTACAAGCTGCAGTCAGCCACAATGGACCCTGGGCCAAACCCCACCACGCCTTCCTCAGTCCCCATCCCATCAAGGACAAGATGCCCAGCCCAGGACAGGAGGGGCTCATCAAGGCCTGCCCCCACCTCCCCATACCTATTTACTCTCACTTTGGACTTTGGCAATAATGGAGAGCCAGGCTGGGTGTTTGATTTGCAGAAGCAAGGGTCAGTGACCTTGGCCCCATCACCTTTCCTTTCTGTGGGAAGCTTGGGCTTTGGGATACTGGGAGGGACCACAAAGGGAGGTGTGGTCAGGATGTGTCCTTTGTAGCTGGGGGTTGAGGGTGATGGACGGGTGGGGCTGGACACTCCAGCATCTGGGGGTGAGACCGGTCAGGGACTATGGGGGTGGATCTGAGGAGTCCAGAGTGAGAGCTGGTGCTCGCAGTGCCTGGCTGCCTGGGGAATCAGCTAGAAGCCAAGCTGGATAAACCGGATGTGGTGAACTGGATGTGCTACCGCAAGACTGAGGACTTCTTCACCATCTGGCTGGATCTCAATATGTTTCTGCCACTCGGGGTGGACTGCTGGATTGATAACACCAGGTACGCCCAGTGTGCTCTGCTGCAGCCCCTACATGCTGCCCCTTGGCTGCTGGCTGCTGAATGTTGCACTGTCCCCAGGGTTATCTACAACCGAAGCTCTGGGCATGTGTCCAACGCCCCTGGTGTACAGATCCGCGTCCCTGGCTTTGGCAAAACCTACTCTGTTGAGTATCTGGACAGCAGCAAGCTAGCAGGTGGGTGTGCTAGGGGAGAGGGCAGAGACTCCAGCCAGGAGTCATGGCAGAACCCCCCAATGCTGCTGCTGTCCCACAGGTTACATGCACACACTGGTGCAGAATCTAGTCAACAATGGCTACGTGCGGGATGAGACAGTGCGAGCTGCCCCCTATGATTGGCGGCTAGAGCCCAGTGAGTATCTCTGTGGATGACAAGCAGGGGTGGGACAGGTGGCCTTTGACTCCAATTGCCCTGCCCCTGTCCACATCCCTGCAGGCCAGCAGGAGGAGTACTACCGGAAGCTGGCAGGGCTGGTGGAAGAGATGCACGCTGCTTACAGGAAGCCTGTCTTCCTCATCGGGCACAGCCTTGGCTGCTTGCACTTGCTCTATTTCCTGCTGCGCCAGCCCCAGGCCTGGAAGGACCGCTTCATTGATGGCTTCATCTCTCTTGGGGCTCCCTGGGGTGGCTCTGTCAAGCCCATGCTGGTCTTGGCCTCAGGTCAGCAAGCCTCCTACCACTTATATCCTGGAGTGGGGGTAGAATGAAGCTGGTCATGGACCTGCCTCCACTGTAGCTTCTGCTCACAATGGCCCCTACCATTCCTGGGGCATGCCACTGCCACCAGTCCCCCAGAGCAATGACCCTGGCCTGGGCCATCAGGGTGACTCCTTCTAGAGTCTGTGTCAGTGATGACAAAGGGAAGGCTAACACAGACAGTGAACCCCAGCAATCTGATTCAAGGTTTGTTCCTTGAGGCCCAGATCCAGCCAACCCAGCTTCAGCTGCCTTCTGCTCCCAGAAACCCCTTTCCCCAGGGATCTGCTTTACTGAGGATAGATTCACCAAACCTAGGCCCGGCCCTAGGAGCCCCTGCTACCCTTCCATGGGGTGTGGCACCAGGGACCCAGCACTGACACAGCTCCTACATATTAAGCATCTACCGTATGCTAGGCATAGCCACCTCAGCCTTCCCCCTAGGGGCTAGCTCATAGCCTGGTGAGGAAAACATTCATCAGATTACATTAGCAAAGTCCAACACAGACACCATCTCATTGCATCCTTCCCTGAACACAACTCTGACCCTAGCAGTACAGGCCACTGTGCTGATTGACAGATGCCTGGGGAGAACAGCCAGCACCACCCCCACTGTTCACACATCCCTCTTCAGGAAGCCTACAACTCTGCTGTACAGAGATGCCATTAGGGCTTCACATTTAATAAGCTCTCATTGAGCACCTGCTAAATACCAGGCCTATTCAAGTAATGGCTTAGAGTCCATGTCTGGATTAGGCAGAGACAAGATGAGCGCCCAGCTTACTTTGAGAGCAAGTTGTGGGCCAGGGGTAGCCAGACCTGGCTCCCTGTCCCACCTGCTCCATATCCACAGGTGACAACCAGGGCATCCCAATCATGTCCAGCATCAAGCTGAGAGAGGAGCAGCGCATAACGACCACTTCACCCTGGATGTTTCCCTCTCGCATTGCGTGGCCCGAGGACCATGTGTTTATTTCCACACCTACCTTCAACTACACAAGCCGTGACTTCCAGCGCTTCTTTGCAGACTTGCGCTTTGAGGAAGGCTGGTATATGTGGCTGCAGTCACGTGACCTGCTGGCAGGCCTCCCAGCACCTGGTGTGGAAGTGTACTGTCTTTACGGAGTGGGCCTGCCTACACCCCACACCTACATTTATGACGATGGCTTCCCTTACACGGACCCTGTGGGTATGCTCTATGAAGATGGTGATGACACAGTGGCCACACACAGCACTGAGCTCTGTGGTCTCTGGCAAGGCCGCCAGCCACAGGCTGTGCATCTGTTGCCCCTGCATGGGCTACAGCACCTCAACATGGTCTTCAGCAACCAGACACTGGAACACATCAATTCCATCCTGTTGGGTGCCTACCGCCAGGATTCCCCTGGATCCCTCAATGCCAGCCCAGAGCCTTTGTCTCCTGAATAAAGACCTGTCTTTGCTGCTGTAAGCCCTGATGTGTCTTGTGGGATGAGGGGGAGACACTAGAGTCCCCACACCTGCTTTCACACATCACCAGCCACAGACTCAGTGCTCTGTGGAACATGAGGCAAGATGAGCTCTGTAAGGTTTGAGTTTGAACTGGCTACTCTGAGAAATGCATCTCCCCACTCTGCTGGGTGAGCTATTTAGGCAGCTATGTTGTTAGTGCCTCTGCTGGTGCGGAACAGAGCCAGATGCACCCTTGGCTGTGTGATTGGGGCGCAGGGAGGGGAAGATCCCAGTTGTCCCAGATACCAAAAGGGGAGGTGAGACAGCCTTTTGAGTACTGGTGAGTGACAGAGGCACAAGACTTTAGAATTTGTGAGTAAGATCATTTCATAATTGTTAATGAAGCTAAGTGCTCTGAGACAGTTTAGGGAGCACCAAGAGATTGAGCCTTGTGAATCACAGGAAGCTTCCCAGAGTGGCGCCTCCACTGTGGTCAGAAGGTTAAGAGAAGTAACATGGGCCACTGTAAAGATTTGGCTTTGAGCCTAAGAGCAGTGTGCAGCTGCCGAAGGGTTTTAACCAAGGAAAGAATGTGACTAGATTTCCAATCTAGAAAGAACCCCTCTCTGCAGGGCACAGTGTAGCCTGGGATAGAAAGTGTGGGGTAACCAGGGAGGCCAGTGCAAATCCAAAGTAGGAGAGAATGTTAAGACCGGCACTGTAGGAGAAAGATGTGTACAGATAGATACAAACCGAGAAGTGAAATAAGGCTTGGCCATGAGTAGACCCCGCATACCTCTAGGCCCCTAAATGGACCGCCAAGGTGCTCCCCTTTTTTTTTATTGGACACAGTGTCTCTCACTCTGTCACCCCAGGTAGAGTGCTGTAGCATCATAGCTCACAGCCACTTCAAACTCCTGGATTCAAGAGCTCCTCTTATTCAGCCTCTGGAGTAGCTGGGACTACAGGGACCTGTCACAATACTTGGCTAGTTTTTCTATTTTTAGTAGAGATGGGGTCTCACTCTTGCTCATGCTGGTCTTGAACTTGTGAGCTCAAGCAACCCACATGTCTTGGCCTCCCAGAGTGCTAGGATTACAGGCCATGGTGCCCCACTTGAAAGAGGGAAGACGGCACCTAAGGCAAGGAAAGTGGAAGGACCTTTATCCTTGTGGCTGAGGGAGTGAGGTTCCCAGGAGAAGACTAAGGCACTAAGAGGCAAAAGTTGGAAGAAGGGTGACAAAGGACAAAAGTGTGCCATGCTTGATGCTGTTGGGAGTCTAGTAGCAATTCACTGACCTGGCCAAACCATCTGACAGCTTTAAGGCAATTAGGATTGGAGGTTAGAATTGTGGATGGGGTAAGGGGGGGGGGGCTCAGACTGGAAGGGGTAGGAGGAGCTGAACAAGAACAGAAGGAGGGTGTGTCCCTCTGTCTGACCCAGCATGCAGGGCCTAGCAAGGAACATCAATCACCCTTTTCCCAATTTGCTCTGGACCAGAGGTGAAGGTGAAAGTGAAAGAAAAGCTGCGAAAGCGGCCAGCACCTTTGAGGAAGGGTGAAGGCGAAAGTGAAAGCAGGAAGAAAGGACGTGGAGCCCTGCAAAGGCTGAATCGGAGGACTTTTTTGCTCCCCTCAGGCCTCTTCGTCTGACCTGACCCCCGACCCCTTATTGGCCCTGCCAGCCAGGACATGCTGAAGCTAGCGATGGAGCCCCGAGGGGGCTTCTCCTTCGAGAATTGTCAGAGGTGAAGGGGGGAGGGTTAATTTCGAGCTGCATACGCTTGGACTTGGGCCTTTTTCCGGAGTGTGGGTGAGAGAGTATGTTGGGCGACCTGGGTTCCAGGTTTACCCCAGGAGATGAGGGAAACCGTGACCAGGTTGGGGGATACTATCGCAAGAGTCTCAGAAGCAGAACTGAAAGCTGGGCACCCCTCCTTTTCCAGAAATGCATCACTGGAACGCGTCCTCCCGGGACTTAGGGTCCCTCATGCACGCAAGACCGGGACTACCATCGCGGGCCTTGTGTTCCGAGTGAGTACGGGAAGGGACCGTGGGGCTAGAGGGATGGCCAGGGGTATCGGGCTGGCACTGAGGCAGTGGCCCCTTCTCCTCTCCAGGACGGGGTCATCCTGGGTGCCGATACGCGGGCCACTAACGATTCGGTCGTGGCGGACAAAAACTGCGAGAAGATCCACTTCATCGCCCCTAAAATCTAGTGAGAATCCCCTAGCCCCAGCCTCAGTCCCTCACGCAAAAAAGAACCGCCCTCTCGTTCCCACCCAGTCCCTGCACATCCTAGCCCTGCCCACACCGATGCTCCCTTTGCCCTCAGCTGCTGTGGGGCTGGAGTGGCCGCGGACGCCGAGATGACCACACGGATGGTAGCATCCAACATGGAGCTACACGCGTTGTCCACGGGTCGCGAGCCCCGCGTAGCTACGGTCACCCGCATTCTGCGCCAGACGCTTTTCCGGTGCAGGCATATGCAGACCTTGGGAGGGGCCATTGTGGGGCGGGCGGGGTTGAAAGGAGGCTGGAGGGAGAAAGGCGGAGCTGCGATGTGCGGGTAAACAGGAAGAGGCAAGCCTAAGAGAAGCTGGGCAACAGGAAGAGGTGACGCCAGTCAGGGGCCCCAGGCCACAAGAAGGGGCGGGGCTTGGGCCGGGGGCGGAGTCTTAAAGGCGGAGCCTTGATCCCGCCTGCGTCTAACTTTGCCCACCCGGAATCAGGTACCAGGGCCATGTGGGTGCGTCGCTGATCGTCGGCGGCGTAGATCTGACCGGACCCCAACTCTATGGCGTGCACCCCCATGGGTCCTACAGCCGTCTTCCCTTCACAGCCCTTGGTGAGCGCTTCCAAACCCCTAGCTTCAGGTTTGTGCCCCAAATGGGATTGCCGCTGCCGCAGCTGACCTCAGGCGTCCCTCTGCCCTGCAGGATCTGGCCAGGGCGCGGCCCTGGCGGTGCTGGAGGATCGGTACCAGCCGAACATGACGGTGAGCAACCTTGGCCCTCACTACGTGCTCCCTGGTGGGTAGTGCACCAGTGGTCTGGGGGAGCTCAGAGAGACGTTGGCCCTGTATGGAGGTCGGAGAAGAGGTGACCACTGAGGGCTGGAGTGAGGGCGAACTGTGGTCCCAACAGAACACAGTCCTATACCAAAGTTTGGATGGCCAGAAAAAGTGGAAGCTCACAGAAGATGGTTTCAAGCCAAAGGAAGAGGGAAAGATTGGTGGGGTCCTGGTTTTGGTTTGGGGTGATGAAAGCGGGATGTATGTGGCTTCAAAAGTGGGTAAGACCTAGAGAGAGAAATGCAGTGGAGGCTTGGGACCCAACACTAGATTGGGTAGGTGGACAAGCTGCTGGAAGAGGGGCCACAAGTGTAGGCAACTCTGGGAAGTTTGTGAAGAGAGCAGTGGCAGAGAGAACACTAGGTCTTGGGAGAGAGGGAAGCAGAGATCCAGGAAGGGACTGCAATGAAGGAAAGGAGGTCAGGTGTGGTGAATAGTCTGGGCTTCAAGATTAACAAACTCCCCCAGACTAACCTGAGGTAACACCAGAGGATTCACCAGGCCTCACATACTTATTTCACTACAGCTGGAGGCTGCACAGGGACTGCTGGTAGAAGCCATCACTGCAGGGATCCTGGGTGACCTGGGCTCTGGGGGCAGTGTGGATGCATGTGTTATCACTGGGACTGGTGCCAAGATGCTGCGGACACTGAGCTCACCCACGGAGCCCATAAAGAGGTGAAAGCTGGGGAGATGAGGTTGCAGAAGGAGGGTGGGTCATGTAATGGGCCCAAGTTGAGCAGCTGTCCCTCCTCCCTCACAGGCCTGGCCAGTACCACTTTGTGCCTGGAACCACAGCTGTCCTGACCCATACAGTGAAGCCACTAGACTTGGAGCTACTGGAAGAAACTGTGCAAGCTATGGAGGTGGAGTAAAGTAGGCTGAGGCTCACAGCTTGGAACAAGGGGGAATAAACCCAGAAATACAAAAATCTAAACAGACAGCTGTGTCGTTCTTGGGTGGAATGGGGCAGGCAGCCAGCAGGGCTCTCTGATTGAGGTATGCCAGCAGGGGCTACTGCTCCAGTCCCTGGCCTTAAGAGGTTCCTTTCATTGGGCGGTACCTGTGGCTCAAAGGAGTAGGGTGCCAGCCCCATATGCCGGAGGTGGCAGGTTCAAACCCAGTCCTGGCCAAAAACTGCGAAAAAAAAAATAGGTTCTCTTCACCCATCTCAGACTTCTACCCTTCCAGAACCCCTGCCTTAGCTGTCATTGCAGGTGTGTGTGGGGCACTCCCGTCTAGTCTTACTCAAACCTTCCTTTTGACACCACACCCCATGGAGGCTCCCCTCTCACTTCCCCACCTTGCTTTCTAGTCAGCTGGTGACAGCTGTAAAGCCCAAAACCCCCCATGTACTGCCTCTCCCTAGAGCCTTTCTCTGGCTCCTCCATGACTCAGGACAAAGCCCACACCTCAGCCAGGGGTGGTGGCTCACACCTATAATCCAAGAGAACTCTGAGAGGCCAAGGCAGAAGGATCCCTTGAGCTCAGAGTTTTTTTTTTTTTTGAGACAGAGTCTCACTTTGTTGCCCTCAATAGAGTGCTGTAGCAATCCTAGCTCACAGAAACCTCAAACTCTTGGGCTCAAGTGATTCTCTTGCCTCAGCCTCCCAAGTAGCTGGGACTGTAGGTGCCCACCACAACACCCATCTATTTTTAGAGATGGGAGGGTTCTCACTCTTGCCCAGGCTGGTCTCGAACTCATGAGCTCAGGCAATCCACCCACCTCAGCCTCCCAAAGTGGTAGGATTACAGGCATGAGCCACCACGCCTGGCCTCAAGCTCAGAGGAATTACAGACCAGCCTGAGCAAGAGCAAGGGCCCATCTATTAAAAATAGAAAAATTAGCTGGGTGTTGTGGTGAGTGCCTGTAGTCCCAGCTACTCGGGAGCCTGAGGCAGGAGGATTGCTTTGAGCCCAAGAGTTCAACAGATTAAGATTCAGTCTCAAAAAGCAACCCCCGGCTCGGCGCCTATAGCTCAACCGGCTAAGGCGCCAGCCACGTACACCTAAGGTGGCGGGTTCGAATCCCCAGCCCGGACCCGCCAAACAACAACGACGGCTGCAACCAAAAAATAGCTGGGCGTTGTGGCGGGCGCCTGTGGTCCCAGCTACTTGGGAGGCGGAGGCAAGAGACTCGCTTGAGCCCAGGAGTTGGAGGTTGCTGTGAGCTGTAATGCCACGGCACTCTACCCAGGGGGAAAGCTTGAGGCTCTGTCTCAAAAAAAAAAAAAAAAAAAAAAAAAAAAGCAACCCCCAAAAGCCCACACCTCTCAGTCAGGCCCCTCATGGGCCCTATTGAGGGCTGAAGTGCTGAAAGAGGAGCTGCTGCTCAACTCCAAAGACAAGTTGGAGTTACCAGCACACCTCACCCCTGCAACTCCTTACCTGTGATCACTCAGATGATAAACCACACCTGGGCTGCTTACAGGAGGCTGGGCTCCTGTCTGCCCATGCTGGAGTGTTAGGGAGACTGATTCCAAGTTTTCTGGGCTGATGAGGGTCACAAGACTCACGTGGGGAGACCTGACACTTTTATCCAACAAGCCTTTGCTGAGCACCCACAGAGTACCCTGATAGCTTTGGGAGGCTCTCTGATCCCAGCCACCATCTGTCCTTGGTACCCAGTGCTTCAACTCTTGGAGTATGGGGTTCAGGCAGCCAATCAGAAGCCAGGCTTTGGGAGGTGGAGGTGGTGAGAGCCTCACACCTGGGTTTTGTCTGATAAGCCCAGGCCTATGTTGGGGGACCTTGGCCTAAAGACTTTCCTGAAGTATGGGAGGGGGCTGAGCCTACATAGCTGGTCTGGCCATAGGCCCAGAACTTTGGTTCAAGGACGAGAAGACCTATAAAGGCAGGCCCAGCTTTTGACCTCACACTTACCACAATGCTGCTGCTCAGTCTGACCCTTAGCCTGGTCTTTCTCGGCTCCTCCTGGGGTGAGTGGGCCAGGACTAGCCCCACTGAATAGCCCTGGGAGTACCCCTGCTCTCAGCACTAGCCCAGAGGCCCAGGCTGTCTGGAAAGAATGCAAGCGGACAGAGTGGGCAAAGGAAAAAGGAGAACCAAGGAACAGGGTCTAGGTTGGAGAGAGATGTGGAAGAATGGACAGGGCAAGGGGGCTGGTTGGGTGCGGATAACTGAGATAGTCATGGAGGTGCTCAGGGGGCACAGAAGGGAAGGGGTACTATTAAGCTCTCTTAATTTGGACTTCTCTGGAGGGCCCAGGGGAAGAAGGTGGGGAAAGGTAGGCTGGGGTGTGGAGAGCAGATCCTCACTAGCCCTATGGCCAGGTTGTGGCGTTCCTGCCATCAAACCAGCACTGAGCTTCAGCCAGAGGATTGTCAACGGGGAAAATGCAGTACCAGGCTCTTGGCCCTGGCAGGTGTCCCTGCAGGTATGCGTATCATAGGGATGGAGCAGGTCTGGGTGCTTCATACCTAGCCATGGGCTGAGTCCCCCGCCCCACCTCTCACCCCTGACCCTAGGATAGCAGTGGCTTCCATTTCTGTGGTGGCTCTCTAATCAGCCAGTCCTGGGTGGTCACTGCCGCCCACTGCAATGTCAGGTAAGCACCTGCACTCTAGCGCCCTGCCCCTGCCCACCTCCTTTCCCTGGATGCCCCTCCCTTGCTCTGCCCTCCCCAAGGCTGTCAACCCCACTTCCCCTACAGCCCTGGCCGCCACTTTGTCGTCCTGGGTGAGTATGACCGATCATCCAGTGCTGAGCCTGTGCAGGTTCTGTCCATCTCAAGGGTGAGTGCTGGGGCTGCAGGCATGGGAGGGAGATGGGCGGTGTAGGTGCATGGGCTCTGGGAATGAGAACTGAGGGCATGCCTTGGCCTCCCCACTCAGCACCCATTAGCCCTGGGTGCCTGTGCCCAGGGCAGCCCTACACAGCCTCTTCCTGGCCCGACAGGCCATCACACACCCCAACTGGAACCCCACCACTATGAACAATGACCTGACGCTACTGAAGCTCGCCTCACCAGCCCAGTACACCACACGCATCTCTCCAGTTTGCCTGGCATCCTCGAATGAGGTGCTGACTGCAGGCCTCACATGTGTTACCACTGGCTGGGGCCGTCTCAGTGGCGTGGGTAGGAAATTGGGCCAAAGATCTGGGTGGGAGGGTTGGGGTGGGGACAAGCATCCTGGGCTGGCGTTACCACCTTCTTGGCCCTCAGGCAATGTGACACCAGCACGTCTGCAGCAAGTGGCTCTGCCCCTGGTCACCGTCAATCAGTGCCAGCAGTATTGGGGCTCACGTATCACTGACTCCATGATCTGTGCAGGTGGCTCAGGTGCCTCCTCCTGCCAGGTGAGCACCAGCACCCTGTTCTGTGCACCATCCCATGGCACACCTCCCCAACACTGACTTCTTTCTTCTTCCCTTTCAGGGTGACTCTGGAGGCCCTCTTGTCTGCCAGAAGGGAAATACATGGGTGCTTATTGGTGTTGTGTCCTGGGGCACCAGTGATTGCAATGTGCGTGCACCTGCCATGTACACACGGGTCAGCAAGTTCAGCACCTGGATCAACCAGGTCATAGCCTACAACTGAGCCCACCATAGGGACCCTCCTCATCTCAATCTAATAAAGACCCCAGGCTCTGTCCTCTCATGTATTCTTGTCTATCTCTTGGCTTGGGGAAAGGAGAGACTGTTGAAGGTCCCTACTCCTACCCTGGACTTTGTCTTCTGGCATGGAAGGAGTGAGGAGTCAGGCTCTTCCTAGAGCAGCCATGCCCAGGTCAGGGCCCCCAACTCTCCTTCTCTGGGGCAACCCCTTCATGCTATAGCAAGGAGCCAGGGCTGCTGGAATGAATAGGCAGCCTTCCCTGGGGAGGGCAGCCTGTTTATTGGATACAGAGGATACATTTACAACTGAGTACACAAAATAAATAACTGCACATTCTTCATCCATGGTCCATGGCATCAAGACCCAGGCAGGCCTATCAAAGGCCCAAGTCTCCAAACTCCCTCTGTCCTACCCTTGGGACCAGGACTACCCTGGGCAAGTGAGGAAATATATCACCAGGGCTTCAGGCCCCCAGAGATACTTGGGGATTTGGGAAGTTCTGAGGCCATGGTATTTGGCTCTCCACTGCCTCCTACACAGGGAGCAGTGGGGACGGAAGGAGGGGAGTGTATAAGGCACAGTTGACTTGGCACAGAGTGGTCTCTTTGGTTTGGTTTCCCACTGGAGGTGGCACATGCAGATAGAGGGCCTGGCCCCAAGGTTGCTCACTGGGAAGAGCTGAGGAGGTCAAACCCCCTTTGCTGGCAGGGTCCCTGTCATCTAGCCAAGGCCAAAGCTGGGCCCTGGCCCCTTCCTACCCACTGAAAGCAGCTGTGGAAGGAGGCCTGGTTCCAGCTTGGTTTGTGGTAGAGGGTGACACCATGAGAAAAGGGACAGTTCTGGCTCAGGTGGGAAAGTAGCCACCCAACCCCACCCACCTCCCACCAGGGATTCCTCCAGCCTGAGACTGAGCAGGGCTCAGACTGAAGGTTAATGCTATGAAAGAATGCAGGCACAGAGTGGGTGGGGCAAGGTCAGTTGTGAGAAGGCCAGTGCCCCAGGCACCCAGGGTTCAGAGGCAGGTCACAGAGTAAGGCTAAGTTCCAGGGAAAGGTGTGCAGAAGCTCAGTGGAAGGGGAGAGTTGAGCAGCTGGTGGACCTCCCCCAATGCAGCAACTCCTTCCTTCCCACTTCCTCCTGGAGGACTATGTGCAGGATGGGTGTGCAGAGATCGCACCCCAGCTGCCTGTACCTATGTTAGACACCAGATGGCGCCTTCACCCAGTTGCAGAGGAAGGAACAGTAGAGACTGAAGGGAAGAGGCCATGGGTTGTACCAGTACTAACAATGAAATACTAATGGGGAACTCCCTGTCCTCTGCCTTGGCCCCCAGGTGCCCCACCCCCCAGGTAGCAGCAGTGGGGCTTCCTTTACCCCCCACAGTAGGGAAGGAGGCACCTGGGGAATGGACTAGTGATCCTAAGGGGAGCAAAAAGCAATGGTGGGCTCTGCAAAGGTGGTACTGAGAGTGGTTGGCTGGTGGCCAGGGAAGCACTGTAGGCTGAGGCAAGCCTGCCACCAGCCCAGCCACACAGTCCAGAAGCATTAAGGTCCATGCATTGGACCTACCACCAGAGGTCCTGGAGGCATCAGGAAGACAAATCAGGCTGTCTGGATCTAGCCAGGGGCTGAGAGTCTAGTCAAGGCACAACTGTGTGCCTACCTAGGCTTCCCATGGAGCCTGATCTGAGGATCAAGAAGCCTTGGAATGTGGGGGGCCTGGGAGGAAGGCTCTACAGAGGAAAGGGGGCATTTCAAAAGTAACTGTCACAGAATGTCCTAGGGCTATAGGACAACGTCCATGTAGCACTGCAGGCCCCTCTGGTCTAGGGAAGACACAGGGCAAGGTAGATACCATGTTTCTCCAAAAATAAGACACTGTCTTATATTTATTTTTTCTCAAGAAGACACACTAGGGCTTATTTTCAGGGGATGTCTTCCTCTCCACACTGAAATGCATAGCCATGCCCATCACTAGGTCTTATTATCAGGGTAGGGCTTATATTTAACAAATGTATAGAAATCCTACTAGGGCTTATTTTGGGGGTAGGCCTTATTTTCGGGGAAACATGGTAGTGAAGGCCAGGTGTGGTCCCTTCCCACAACTTATAGCAGAGCAGTTGTCCACGAACATGAGTAGCGGTGCCAGGCCAGGGAGGTCACAGCCCCCTGGGCCACCTCCACTGTCACACCTGGCCCAGACCCAAGGTGAGGAAGAGGGCTGCTGAAGCACAGAGAAGGAGAAGGAGCCAGACATTCTTTACCTCCTGTTAGCTGTCTACGCCTATCTCTAGAGAGGATATCAGGCCCAGAAGGCATAGCAATGAGTGGCCAGGCTGGGCCCATGACATGTCTATACCATAGCCAAATGGCTCAGCCATTGTACTGCTGCTGGTAACGCAGGTTGAGCTCCCGCAGCTCCCGTTCCCGCACACGGCGTGACTTGTTGGATCGTGTTGAGCGGCTGGAACGCGTGGACTGGGCAGATTTGGTGCTCTGACAGCGTGAGGAGGCACGTTTGAGAAGGTTCTGGGAGATGGAGCGGTGCAGATTCTTCATGGATGAAGAGGCTGCCATGCTTACCACCCACGGGTGCCTCAGAGCCTGCAGTGCAGTCATACGGGCTCCAGGGTCCACTGTCAGCAGGCGGTCAATGAAGTCCTTGGCCAGGTTGGACACACTAGGCCAGGGCTAGAGGCCAAGGACAAGCATTAGAGTGAGAGCACTCAACGATGCCCACCTCATCTGGGTGAGGCCACCACCACAGTGTTCAGACCCACCCAGTGTACTTATACTTCCCCCAGAAAGAAACACTACCCTCTCCTCCCATGTGGCTTTCCGGGGCTCTCCTCCACACCCAACACTAGTCCAGATGCGGAGCAGGGGCTAATCTCTGGGTGATGAGGAGTCTGACAAGGACGAAAAGGACCTGCCCTCTTTCCCAGGAAGCAAACTTCTAAGGTGCACTGAACCTGAAGCCTAGCTCAAGGAGGTGACCCTTGCCAAGTCCCCCAATCTACCATAACTCCAAGAGATTTAAAGAGAATGACTCAAATTGTCCTACCATATTCTGAGTCAGACTTAAGCTCCAATCCCTAGATGCCCAGACGAGGCCACCAAGAAAGGAACTTCCTTCTTTTTTTTTTTTT